AAAAGCGGGGATTCGTCGGGATCGAGTGGAGGAGCTTGTACGTGAAGAAAATGCTGGGAAAAAGTTCTGGGCGCCCAAATCCGTTTGTGGTGAACTCGCTGGGGGGGGGGGGGGGGGGGGGGGGGGGGTATGTCGTTGTCGTTAGATCATTGACCTCACATCCTACAATGCCGGGGCGGAGCGATTCGCCGGCCCATGCTACGTTGCACAAGGACGAACCAGAAGCTGGTCATCATGATGATAGGTGATAGGGAGGGCTACAGTAGGAGGCTGCGCGCGGCGGGTGTTGCGGGGGGCCCGAGAGAGTGGCGCGGCAAAACGAGTGTCACACAAAAAACGGGGAATCAGCCACGAGTGTACACATCACGATGAGACAACGGCTGCCGCCAACAACAACACTGCTCCTACCTCTCTACAGCCATCAACCACCATCCCGTCACTCACTCGGCACCATGCCGTTGTCGAACATGCCGCCGAACCCAATGGAAAGCCCCCGCGACATTCCGCCGCTGCCCGCCCTCAGCAGCTCGTGGGACTGCACCGGGGGGAGATAGTGGCCTGATTGATCTGCCGCGCGAGCCACGATTGATTGTAAGCAGCAACAAGAAAAAGCACCGAAAGGTCAAAGCGGCAACAGCATCAGGACATTTATACAGGGCCAAGTTAGGCCAACACAAGCGGATACCAGAGGCGAACTCAGAAGCAGAAAGCAGGGGGGGGGGGGGGGGGAGTCATGTGCTGCTTGCCTTGGTCACTTGGCCTTGACCGTGCATCTCTTGCGAGAATGCACAGACACCTCCAACTATCGGGGTGCTCTCCAACACAATCTTTCGGTTGGGGGGGGGGGGGCTCTGGAGTCGAGATCACCCAACAGCAGAAAACTGGCCGGGCATGCCGACCGACCGTGCTATGCTACTGCTGTACCTCCAACCACCGAAGGCTGCGCACATATAATAGGGATCGTTTCGACGGGGACTCATGCAAACGCATGCCGTACAGTAGTCGGCAGACCATAGACCTCGCATCCCTATGATACAATGCCGGGACGGAGCGGTATGCCGGGTTGGCGCCGGCCCATCAGACTACGAATCACAAGCATGAACCACAAGCTTGGAGGGAGTGGGGGAGAAATAGGGGTGACCTTTGATTACTGTATACTACTGTATACATATCATACACCCATTGTACAGCAGCGTTTACCTCGCATCGAGGACAAGGGGACGGAGACGACGTTGCCGTTGCCATCCTCCCGATCCCTCCCGGGGGGAGACTCGCGTATCAAGCTTCCTCCCGGACCACCCTCTCCAGATGCACCTTCCGGCGCCTGCATGCATCAGTATATGCGCGATTCAGTGCCATGTGTTGTGAGTGCATGCATCAGTACGATTTTGCGTTTTATGTGTTCTGCGTGAATGCGTCAGTACGTTGTTCAGCGATTGTGTGTTGTGAGTGCGTGCATCAGTGAGTGACCATGTGTTACGTGTTGTGAAGTCACCCTGCTCATTGCGGAGCATCGACTTTTCTTACGCCTCTCGGTACGTTTCCTGGACGCACGAGGCGGGGTCACACAGACAGGAGGATTACAGCCGCTGAGGTTTTGTTTCGCCTTTCTCCGCCTTCTTCACGCCTTCGTTTATTGTCGTGACATGTGTATTCAATATAGTGGTATTAAGGATTTGATGCCGGGATGAAGCCAGCAACCTTGCTTTACGGTTGCAAGATTTTCATGTTTGGCACCACGCACACCTGTCTTCTTCCCGCGCGTCAACCAAGGGCAAGAACGAGAAGAAAACACGCACAAGCCGGAAAAACAACCACCCCATCCCAGGAAGAAAACAAAATCTCACGTTCTTGAGCCCCAAGATGACCGACGCCGGCCCTCTGTGCATTTCAGCAATCCTATGTAGAAAAAAAAAAAAAAAGGCACAGCAAAAGCGCAACCGAAGACGACAGCAACAGCAGCAGGGAAGGGCGAAGGTGGGTTAACAGGAACCCGGTGACGGCGGCGGCGGGGGGGAGCCTCACAACAACCCCAACCCTATTTCTTACCCTGCACTCGATGATCGGAGGACAGAAGGAAGTGGGAAAGGCCGGGGAGGGAGGGGGGCCGGGGTGGACGAACGCGTGCGGCGACCGGGGGGGGGGGAGTTCGGAGCTTTCCCCGACGAACGAAACCAAAGGCGAAAAGTTACTAGGACACGTGCATGGTTGAAGCATTTCCGCCCGCCCGTACGAGTCCAAACGGTGCCTCGAAATAATTACGTACGGAATACGCCCCGATACTGATGCAAACTACCTGCCCCCCCCCCCATGCAATTTTCACCTCGCGGCGGCTCCCT